GGCGCCAGTGAGTTGGCATCAGGCTCAGAACCTGTCACATGCATCTGTGTAGTGAGATAGATACAGCTGCAGGGCTTTATCTTTTTTTTTTGTGTGAGGGGGGCGGGGGTTTGGAGGGGGAATGATTTTGTTGTTCATGGGTTCTGTTCATGGTAGGGTGTTAGATTCTCAAGTTGGCAACTGACATGGGTACTTTTAACTGCTAGAAGGGAGAGTGAAGGATAATCAGCTAAAAGACCTGTGCTAGATCAGGGTAATAGCCTAAACATGTCTTATAATTATATATGAACAACCACATGCATTGCGTCCATGATGCTAGGCCATTTACCTGAGAACTTTTCTCTTGCTTTTTCCATTGAAGACCTTCATTCCGAAGTTTCCTAAAGAAATGTTTATTGAATTTGTGAGAATGTTCGAATCACCTTAAATTCAATAAAAAAAGCAAAAACTTGAGAGTAGATATTGATCCGTTGGAAGATGGAGGGAGAAAGCTCATGGGAGAGGGTTTTTTTTTTTTTTTAACCTCTCGAGATTATGCCTAGGAAAGGTTTTAGTAAAGCTGCTGCTATATTAAGAAAAGAAGTCCTTTAATCTATAAAATTAGTTAGTTCAGCCAGTAAGAAAATGTATGTTCTGTCTTTAATATTAAGATTTCATTTTTGTTGGTAACACTCTGATATTAAAACTTTGAATGCACTTAATTAATGAGACAAATGCACATTCAAATTGCTAATTGAGGAAATTTAGGTTTTTAGTGAAATTTGGAGATATCCCTTTATGTCTATTAAAAAAGACCCTATCATCTTGAAAGATAATCTCATTTTAACATCGAACTAAAGGAGTTAAAGGCTTATACTCAACAATAGTACATTATGATTACATATCATCAAAGGCGTTACTGTTGGATTTAAAGGGAAACACATCTTAAAGAAAATAAAGATGGCAGAACAATTCGTTATTTGTACAAAATATTTAGAGGTAAACATATCAAGGTACAGTGCTTTGTGCATATCATCAAAACGTCATGGCGTGTTATCGGAATTTAACAATAATTCAGATTGATTTGTCCACCGAGTGATCATCAACCATTTAATTAATTAATTTCTTTTTTTTTTTTTCAATAGATTGCCTTGCTTTTGTGGTCATCCTGAAGTCTAAGACCGCCCCATGGCTTTCGGTATGTTAGACTTTGAAAACTTGGTTATCTGACTTATTGACCCTCTTTTAAGATATTTTAATACATCCCATCTTCTTTTGTCTTCAAACATTGATCGCCAAGGGTCGGAAATTAATCCCACCCTGTAGCTTAGGTCCACGAAGCAAAACGGGACAAGACCTTGTGTATTAAGGACGTGTGTATTAGGTAAAAACACACTCACTAGACCGAATTGAGTAGTATCAAAGCTACATTAAATATTATAATCTCCTATATAATTAGAGTTTAAGTAGGGTCGTTTCGTTGACCCAAAACCAAACGAAATGGAGAGAAGCATCGAGCTTTTATTGCTAGGATAAGCATGAGGGGAAAAGGGAGATGGGTTGTTGGTGAAGAGAAATATCTTTTGTGTGTATTTGTTGGCAATATTTGGTGAAGTTTCCTACGTAATAGCTGTCTCTTACCACACATGAAAAGGACTTGAGTAGAAGACGAACCTAGACAGCGTAGGGTTTTCTTCCGTCCAACCATCAAACATTTAGAACCCTTGCTACTTTGAGAAGCAAGACTACTTCCTGATTATCACTTGAACAACTCTTTACTTAATAGCATGGTTCATCTTTACTTTGTTTTTAGTACAGTCACTGAGTTAATTTTTACTGCTATTAGCCCATCCTTTTCAATTAGGCTTAGGCTTAGGCTTTATGAGATGCGTAATCTTGGCATTAAGAGCCTACAAGGGAAGAATTTTTTGCTTTTTTAGTGAAAATTTTGCTTAAATGTCTTTATTTTTAAAAAAACAAAAATAAATTTTTGTCTCTGTAAACAAAAATACAAAGATATTCTTCTCTGTATACAGTATTATGTATGGTATGCTTTGTAAATATAAGTCTTCATAGACCACCGCCTAGCTATTAATTAAAAAGCCTAAAGTAGATGATGTTTCGGCAACTGACTATATTGTTTAACATTAGTCTATTAGAAGAGTGCACAAAGTAATCATTGGACATGTAATACATTAATTTTTTGGGTAAATAAATAAATATATATAATAGTATGCATCGTTAAATTAAATTAAATAAAGATGCACATATCTCAACACTTTAATCCAAAACTGATGCATGTTTTGTTGGGTAGTGTGATGGTTGGTAGGGAAGGGCCCTCTGGTTCTCCTTGGTTAGGCAGTGTGGGCTCGTGGGGAATCTGTGATGAATGAATAAATAAAATAAAAGACGACATATTGCAGTGGCATTCTTAAAGGGCCCACAAAAGAACGTTCTACGGCGGCCCATTATGCCACTCGATGTAAATTCCAGAATCAACCACTTTGATAACTACATTAATCTTGAAATTGAATGATGTGGGGAGAATTGATTGTGGATTGCCTTTCTATTTTAACAAATAACATTGTTTGGATGGACATTGATGGGTTTCGCCTTAAGACACGTTTATTTGTAATGGCATCCGACAACGTTGGTTCTATTTTATTTTCGAAAGCTCATGGTTGAAATTGAAAGAATATGATTTTTGACAACCATTTAATCTTTAGATTGAACCAAATTTACATGAATTCATTTTTGTGTAAAAAAAAAAAAAAATTCTACACTTTTGTTTGGAACTTGAGAAAAAAAAAATTTTGAGAAGTTTGTGTGCCCATTTCGGAAGATACAAAGAACTGAAGAAGAGGAGCGGACATATCATAGCATGATGAAGTGAAGGGAGACAGGGACAACAGTAGGTGGATAGAGGAAGAGAAGCAAAGCAAGGTACACTAACTTCTGCTGTCCTTTCTAGTGTAGGGTATCTCCTCAGGGAAATCTACTTGGGTCCCATTACATTTTATTCCAAACTTTCAACTTAGGACAATCACCAGTTCTCTCTCCTTCATTTTTTTTTATTGCTTTACAATGAAAACATGTTTCGATTTTTGAACCAATCAGCACCAGGCAAACATATTTCTAGTATTCCGCTGAATAATTATTTTGTTTCCTGCATAATATTTGAATTGAGCATATTATAAAGTAAATGTTTATGCACAGTTTAAACTGTAGTTGTTGTAGAAAGTAATTATGCTCATTGAATTGAGCATTGAAGCATTTTGCAGAAGCAAGAATCTTTATTGCCTTCTCAAGAATAGTCTTCCTATTTCACCATCTTTAACTTCAAGGAGTCAACTCCCCTTTTAAATCTCCTAATCCACCCACTCTTAATTACATCATAATGTCATTATAATAACATATCTCCTATTTGCCTAACCTTTATTGTTTATATATACATATTATATGTACACACACAAAGCCAATCACCTCTAACCCACCACAGCCAGACCCTCTCCCCCTCTCTCTCTCTGTATAAACTCAGACACTCTGTTCTATTGCATGCACAGTTCTCTGTTCATGAATTCTAAGCTCATGGCTACTTCTCTCTTCTTCCTTTACTTATTACTCTTACATACTCACTTCCATCTCTCCACCTCGTCAACCATACTCCTCCCTCTTACCCATTCCCTCTCCACCGCCCAATTCAACGCCACCCACCACCTCCTCAAGTCCACCTCTGCTCGTTCCACCAACCGCTTCCGCCGCTACCACCACACCCAACTCTCCCTCCCTCTTTCCTCCGGCAGCGACTACACTCTATCCTTCACCCTCGGCTCATCCACTATCTCCCTCTACCTTGACACCGGCAGCGATCTTGTCTGGTTCCCCTGCCAACCTTTTACTTGCATTCTCTGCGAGTCCAAACCACGTTCACCAACTCCACCCGCAAAACTCTCCTCCTTGGCCTCCCCTGTGCCCTGCAGCTCCCCTGCATGCGCCGCCGCCCACTCCTCCATCCCTTCTTCTTCCGACCTCTGTGCCATCGCCCGCTGCCCTCTCGAATCCATTGAAATGTCCGAGTGCGGCTCTTTCTCCTGTCCGAGTTTCTACTACGCCTATGCGGACGGCAGCTTGGTTGCCCGCCTCTACCGGGACTCATTGAGCTTACCCGTCTCTTCCCATTCTCTCACCATCCGTAATTTCACTTTCGGGTGCGCACACACCACTCTTGGCGAGCCGATTGGGGTAGCTGGGTTCGGCCGCGGCGTCCTCTCCCTTCCTGCGCAGCTCGCGTCTTTCTCCCCACAATTAGGTAATTCATTCTCCTACTGCTTGGTCTCCCATTCGTTCGATACGGAAAAAGTGACTCACCCGAGTCCACTCATTCTGGGTCGGTACGTCGACGAGAAGGAGAAGTGGATTGGGGGTGAAAGAGTTAAGTTTATCTATACCCAGATGCTGGATAACCCCAAACACCCCTATTTCTACTCTGTTGGGCTCGAGGGAATCTCCGTCGGAGAAAAAAAAATTTCCGCGCCGGAAATTCTTAAACGGGTCGATAGGCATGGAGGCGGCGGGATGGTGGTCGATTCGGGGACCACGTTCACCATGCTGCCGGCGAGTCTATACGAATCGGTGGTGGCTGAGTTCGACCGGCGAGTGGGAAGACTCCATGAGAGGGCCCGTCCAATAGAGGAAAAAACCGGACTGGGTCCGTGCTATTACTATAACAAGGCTGTAAGGGTGCCAAGTGTTGTATTGCATTTTGTTGGGAATGCATCCAGTGTGGTCCTGCCCAGCAGGAATTATTTCTACGAGTTCGCGGATGGGAAGAGGAAGGTTGGGTGCTTGATGTTGATGAACGGTGGGGATGAGGAGGAGCTTCGTGGCGGGCCCGTGGCTACACTTGGGAATTACCAGCAGCAGGGATTTGAGGTGGTTTACGAGTTGAGGAAGAGGCGGGTTGGGTTTGCAAAGAGGAAGTGCGCATCTTTGTGGGAAAGCCTTAACCAAGGCTAACGTGCACTGGGGGTTGACTTTGCGGTCGAAGTCAAACCGTGCCGTGTTTGTAGGTATTTTTATTTATTTGTTTGTTTATTTATTTATTTGAAGGATGTGAAAATAAAGGAGACCGTTAATTAAATTGCGAAGTATGCATAGCTGACCTCCTCCGATATTAAATGTACATGTGCTGTGACGAGGATTTGTAATTTATAAAGCGACGACAAATATTTGGGAGAAAGTAATTTTTTTTTTTCTTCTTTTAAAAAAATTGATGGCCCTGGAGTAATTCATTTCTGGTGGTTTTTTTGTGAGCAAAATGTGGGTAGTACTTCAGATGTTTAAATATATATATATGTATGTGTGAAGAAAGAGGGTAAAAAGAGAGATTCGGAAATCAATCCAAGATTTGGGTTGGTCGTAGCTGGTGTGTACGAGATTAGATGAGATGAAGCCTTCTGATTTGAAGTAAAAAGTAGGACCATCTGTGTTCTTTTATCTGCTACTGGGTCCTCACAATGAACTCTCTCTTACTTGGATTTTCTTAAAATTTATTTCACTCAATTACCTAAAATAAATTGTAAATTAATCTCGAAAATATATATTCAGTGAATTTCCCAATTGTATGTTAACATAAAAACAAAAAAGGTTTGGTGAGAGTTAAAAGCAACGAATAAAGTGAAACTGAAGTTGGGTAAACATCGGACTTCTGAATATTTCTTTCTAACCATCGCGCCCTATAATAATTAACCACGTTGTATATTCTCTGTCCTTTTTTTTTTTTATTATTTGATGAACAGTATTAAAATTCCATTTTTATCAACCTCAAGGAGTAGACAAGGCAAGAACAAAACAATTTTGGTTTGATTTTCAAGTGTGTTTCAATGAGAACAAGAGGCTATGGAGATAAGTGTCTCGTGTGCAGACCCAACTCTGAGGCTGACGCCACTTGTCAAACTCCATGAATGCAAACCAGCTGTCTTCCAGTTTTCACACACCATTATGTCTGACTCTCCTTTCCACTTCACTTTTGTACTTCTCCAGGAAACAATCAATTGTTTTTTATTTTATTTTTGAACTTCTTTTTATTTCTTCATTCAGAAATTCTTATCTTTTTTGACGAAGCGTTCAGAAATCTTTATCCTTTTTAAGAACGGATGTGATAGAAAAATTTGACACGAACATCCCCAAAAAAAAAAAAAAAAAAATTCAAAAGACTAATCTACGCGGTTAATATTTCTTCTTTATTATATTATATTCGTATTATATATATATATATAGATGTAAAATGTATATAATATAATAGCACCTTTTGAAATATGGTCATTTGGAGTATTGGGATTGGAGAATACAGCCAATAGATAAATGCAATCAGATTGATGCTAATATTATTAATACCTATATATATATATATATATAATCGATTACTGAACCATGAAAGATTTGCATGGATATAATAATATATAGATTTGTGATATTTGACTTTTTTAATTCCACTATATGAATACATACGAAATATCATGGATTTGTATATTTTAGTTACTAGATTCAATGCCCTGCAAGTTTTTAGGATCAATTCAATGCAATCACTCTAAAAAATTATTAGAACTTGAAACATGATCGCTAGGAAGTATTGGGATTGGAGAATACCACCAATAGATTAATGCAATCAGATTAAAGCTAATATTGATATGTATTATCTATCTACCTATACATATATATATATATATATATACATGTACTCAATTGTTAAACTATGAAAGATTTGCATAGATATAATACATTTGACTTTGTTAATTCAACTATATTAATACATATGGAAATATTATGGATGTTATATTTTAGTTACTAGATTCAATTCCCTGCAAGTTTTTAGGATCAATTGCCATGCAATCACACTAAAAAATTATTAGATACATAATAGTGTTTGAAGGCTTGTTCTACTGAAGTTATGTATACATATATATATATATATATATATATTACCCACTGTGCGTACCCACGTTAGGGAGAGTCGTTTGATTAAATATATAAATAAATAAGGTATATACTTTTAAAAATTCTCAAGAGAAACTGCGTTGCATTTACCCCTCTCCATTTATGGGGAATAAGATTCAGTGCTGTATTCTTTTAACTCATCATTCATCTAGCAAAATAATTTATGTAATTTGGTATGCCCAAAAACTATATTAACTACACAAAAAATATATATATATATATATATATATATTTAACCATGTTCTAACTATATATATATATATATATATATATATATAGTTAGAACATGGTCAACTACTTCGAAAACAGCTCAGAGTAATCTAAACATGTCTAATCAGTTTTGCTTTTTTTAAATCAAGAATAGTGAATGACTGAAACAAATGGTTAGAAATCAAATTGTAAGAACATATTAAAAACAAAATTGTAAGTGAAATATTTTAAAAATTAATTTAATAATTTATCATAAAATCCATATGATTCCAAAAGCATATCAGGAAATCAGAGGCTTTCCAGAAAAGTAAAAACAGCCCTTATATCACCTCTGTTCAATCTGTGGGCTTGAGGCCCGACCCATACAAAAAAACAGCTTTCTGATTATCAAACTATTTACTCATCGATCACCATCTTCCCCCCCAGCACAGAAAGCTCTGATTCCCTCCATTTTATATGGATTTGCTTTGGTCTCCTGCACTGCTTCTTCCTTAGAGATTCTAAGAAATGGTAAGAAAAACAAAACATGAAGCATTTCTTCTGTTCTCTAATAACCAATTTGGCTTCAATCTTTCTCTTACATTATGTCTGTCCTGCAACATTTCTTCCACATTTTTTTTTTCCCTCATTCTCCCCCTTCATTTTGCTCTTAATTTCTACTACTTATCTCATATATAGCTCTTTAGCTCCCAAGAACTCAATTCTCAACTGGGTCGTGGTTGTCTCCGTGTTGATTTTATCCCACAAGTTGAATTCTCTGTAAGTTTAATTCTGAAACCAAAAATTTTACCACCTTTCCTTGTCTTCCTCTCCTTAATTCTTCTCCTTTGGATTCATTATCTTTGAGTTTAGCCCGGAAATCAATCATGTCTACTCAAGGTTGTTTTGCAGCGAACACAGTCATACGGGCCAGATTTAACTCTCTTCTCAAATGTGTCTGTCTTCTTCTCGTACTCCAAGCTCTCCTCAGGTGCAATTATCTTCGTTACTTCCTGCATAATTTCTTCAAAATTATATAATGATGATATATAGTTTATCTCCTCATTTTCCCTTCAATTTTGTATCAAGAGAAAATTCTAAGAACCTGTGTCTTAATATTATTTTTCAATACCTATCATTTTACAGCTTATTGATATAAATGTTTCTGAGTGTTTATTGAATTGAATTGGAATTGGAATTGGAATTGAAATTGAAATTGAAATTGATATGAATAAATTATGTATAATGTATAATATCAAACGTCTTTCTATCCACCCATTGCTACATTTTCTTATTCCTCTATCTCCAGATATTCTGGTATCTAGAAAACAAGAATAACTTCTCTCGAAAGGAACTTATGATGATCTACGAGTTAGAGACTTTTCATGAACTATTTATTTTTAATGATACTGTTAGAATTTTCTAGTTGAAGAAATTTTTTTTTTTTTTCAGTTTGTTCAATCCAAAAGTACTTTTAAATAGATTTTATATCAAATTTAAAATTTTTTAAAATAATTTCTCATAATTTAAAAAATTAAGCATTAATCAAATTTCTTAAAAAAATAAATTTTTAATAATAACATGATATTTAAAAAATAAATAAATTTTAAATATAATTAAAGATAAATTTTATTTAAATTTAAATTAATAAATAAAATAAATTATAATTTTTACATTAATTTTTAACTAGTACATTAAATGTTTTATCAAATTTTCATGGTACTCTTTTTTTTTTTTTCTTTCTAATTTCACAAAATTTGTAAGATATAATTGTTATTGGTTTAAGAGTAAGGGATTTTGATATACAGAAAGCAAAAGAAATGTTTCATGTTAAGACTTGAAAACGTTTTATAATATTCTGACAAATATTTAAAATGAATCAATTATATTTTATTCATATTATGTGAATTAATATTTTAGAATTTAGAATTGTGGGGAATTTAAGTTTGTAGAATATGCAGAGGTAAAGAAAATTTGATATTGAAGTAACCGGAAGAAATTGTTCTTCCGAGCAGTTTCAGAAGGAGATGAGAAAAAAAAAACGATGTTGGAGTAACTGGGGAAGCTTTGCTTATAAGATACTTAATGTACATATAATTAAGAACAATTGTCCTATGATTTTTGGAATGAAATTTGTATAAATCAATAATTGATTTCAACTTTTCCCCTAAGATTTTAACTTAAGTGATTAGTGGCTTGTGTGTGAGTGTGTGTGTATGTATGTACCTTCATGATTTTACTTCCAAGTCTTACCACTTCTAATTTTTTTTTTATAATAAATGTGTCCTAATCACTCAATTAAAATTTTTAAACACGAAACTTCAAGAAGAGTGTGTGATTATTACCAATTTATCCTTGGATAATTAGAACTCATTTTTCAGTTTTTGTATGTTTGTCTTTATAAAATTTTATTAATAAATAGAGGTTTACTGGTAGTAAATGCTTCACGGAAGATAAAGTGAGCTATTATTACAATATACTTATTGATTTAGGTATCATGAACTAAAAAATCAAGAAAAGTTGTGGAATTTGATGAGTTAAGACGATAGTAAATGATATGAGTTAAAGGATAAGACATAAAATAGTGATTTTAACGAAAATGTAAATAGATCTATAGAAAAAGAGATTTTAACATGCCTATTACGTTCAAACCTTACTTGTTAATTAGTAATATTTTGAATATAAAATACCACCAAATTTGAGATACCTTCAAGATTCTCATAATAACTTTCTTGATTTGTTCAAATTAATATTATAAAAATTTTCACCAAACATATAAAGGAGTAGTTACTTTATGTTATTAGTTATATGTGAATGTGCATGCACTTATCTTTATATTTTTTTAATTTATTAAATAAACTTTATTTTTTAATTTATAAATAAAATTATTAATTTTGAATATAATATTTTTATCAAATTAAAATATGAAAAGATCATGCCCATTGACTATTGTGGTAACCTTCAATTTTTTTTTTAAAAAAATTATTTTGTTGGGATATGTATGAACCTGATATATTATTTATTATATTTAAATTAACAGCTTAATATATATATTTGTAGCAATAAAGTTAGTAGACGAAATTTTGTATGAAAGTTATCAGAAGTGAAGTAATGAGTGTCAATCTGGGATCGACATAAACTCCAATATTCCCTGCTTAAATATTACTGAATTATTAATTATTATAATCCGACGTGGAAATTAAATTAAATTAAATATCTATTAATTAATTCAGCACGTGTTTGGTATCTTTCAACGCTTTCCCTTTTATCTTTTCGGTAACGGGATCTTTTATGTCTTTTTGTGCAACTCAAAATAACATATTTTTAAAGCCATTTTTATTTTAAAAATACTAAAATAATAATGTAGTTTTGCTACGAGCGAAGTGATAATTATTTACTAGAAAATAATTTAACAGAAAATTACCCAAAAATAATAATTTTTTACTTAATTTAATTTATTTTTTCCTTTTAATTCATCGAACCTTCCCTCTCTCTCTCGATCCCTCCACCCATTTTCTTTTGTTTCCCCAACACAACAACACATTTGAAAAACAACGAAACCAGATTCTTCTCCAGCTCCCATGTATTTCCGGATCTACCTTATCATTTCTCACCCATTTTGAAGGCACAAATCCTTTTATTTTTTTTATTTTTTTTGTTTTTTACAAAAAAACTTTTCTTTCCTCATATACACCTTCGTATCCTAGAGGCATCGTTGGTGGAGATGAGCACGGGAGAGCTTCTCAACATCGAGCCCCTAGAGCTCAAGTTTCCTTGTGAGCTTCTCATTTTGGATCTGTTTTTTTCTTTTTTTTGGTTCCCTGTTCTCGGTTGTTTGCGATAAAAATGATCCGTTTTGTTTGTTTTCGGTATTTGATTTTCTGTTTTTTTGGTTTGTGATTAGTTGAGCTGAAGAAGCAGATCTCTTGTTCGCTTCAATTGTCAAATAAAACGGATAATTATGTAGCTTTCAAGGTACCATTATCAATTTTTCTTTTCAACATTTGTAACTTTCAATCCTGTTTTATTTTTCAAATCTTCAATTATTCCTCTGTTTGGTTTCTGAGAAAATAAATTAGTATAAATAATATAGGAATCCAGAAAACATTTAAGTGATTCTGTTTCATAGGGCCGCATGGCGCATAACGGACGTGAACAATTTAGTCGTTCTTTAATCAAATGATATCAATATAAGATTCGAATATCAAATTCAAAATGTAGATTCGAATATCATCATTTCCCCAGTAACCATTGAAGGGTAAAATGTATTTTGCATATTTAAATTCTGTTTATTTGGGATTTTTTTTAAAATCTTTAGTTGATTGCATTCAGGTGAAAACAACAAATCCAAAGAAGTATTGCGTTCGTCCCAATACTGGGATTGTTTTGCCTCGCTCCACCTGTGACATTATAGGTGCTCATCTCATCATTTTGCTGTATAGTTCACATATTTACATATAACTACGCAATACTCAAATCATATGTATAGTTCTAATTCCTCAATAATGTAGTCATCTATGAATCTTTGATATTCACTTAGTTACAATGCAAGCACAAAAGGATGCTCCTCCTGACATGCAATGCAAGGATAAGTTTCTTCTTCAGAGTGTAAAAACAAATGATGGTGCAAGCGCAAAGGATATAAACGCTGAAATGGTAACCAGTTTATCTAATCTCTTGTGGTCTTTTCCCTTTTCCTTTTAAAGACTAATGTAAAGATTATAATTGTTTTATTTCTTAGTTCAACAAAGAGGCAGGGCACGTTGTTGAGGAATGCAAATTGAAAGTGGTTTATGTTTCTCCTCCTCAACCACCTTCTCCTGTTCCAGAAGGTTCGGATGAAGGATCTTCACCGAGGGGTTCCTTGTCAGACAATGGAAACATGAATGCTGCTGAGTTTACTAGTGTGAGTACTTGAGGCATTATATTATTGTTCTTACTCATTTCTTTATATTATTTCTTATAGGCCTGCCTTAAGATATTGAGTTGCATCCTTGTGTTGGTGAACACAGGCTACAAAGACGCTTGAGCGGCTTGGATCTCAAGAGAAGTCTGCAGAGGTGAAATTTGAAATTCATCTGTTTGTGTAATTCTGTAGATAAACTATACATTCAATAAGACTTATATTTGCTTAGCTTTTGGTTTGTGTTATATGTTGTGTTACCCAACTTATGAATATGTTGCTTGGTACAATATATGCTTCCTCTATCTTTTGTTGCAAGAAAGAGTAATATTTTTCCATTAGCTGAAGTGTACAAAGGAATGAGAAACCTGGTGTGTTGTTTTTTAAGCACAAAGCTTGAGCGGCTTGGATCTCAAGAGAAGTCTGCAGAGGTGAAATTTGAAATTCATCTGTTTGTATAATTCTGTAGATAAACTATACGTTTAATAAGACTTATATTGTTTGTGTTATATTTTGTGTTACCCAACTTATGAATATGTTGCTTGATGCAATATATGCTTCGTCTCTCTTTTGTTGCTAGAAAGAGTTGTACTTTTCCATTAGCTGAAGTGCACACAGGAATGAGAAACCTGGTATGTTGTTTTTTAAGCATAAAAAGTTTCCGAAACCTTTTGCATGCAAACTAGATATATTTCCATTTTTATCAGTCGAAGGCTCTGGTCAACTAGGGGATCTTCTTAAGCAAAAGTTCCTTGCTAGTTATGATGTCTAGTTGAATCTCGAGTAAAGTTGGAGCTATTTTTCTCTCTTTTCATTCTGTCTTTTCTAATAATGAAAAATGATCATTTGGTGATGGCATCTGAAGAACCTGATATAGAATGAATATGAATAGATTTCTGGAAAGATTATGAAGTATATTGCTTGCTTAATCTAGTACGGGTCCTTCTGGTTCGGTTTATTTTCTTTTAGCTTATAAGTGGCTGAAGTACATAATTTTTTTAAAAGTAAGTGAAAACATGTTGGTTAGTGTAACTTTAACTTATAACCTCTATATAAATAATGAGTTTTTTGTGAAAAAAAGTACTTATAAATTGAAATTTTGATAACATGACTAAAAGAAACACACAAATAAAAGTTTGGTAATTTATAATAGGGGCTATTTTTTGTCAAATTCATGAAAGAGTAAGTGGGTGTCTGGTTCAGCTTATTTTCCAGTCAAACCAGCTTTTAAACTAGTTTGACCAAAAAGAAGCTAAACGAGTGTTTGTGTTGCATTATTGACTTAAAAGTTAAAACAACCAAGCTATGGAAACTTATTTTTTCTCCTTGGCTAATATGCCATGCGAAAAAGCCAATTCTGCCTTTTATAATTTTGACCAAAATACTCCTGTTATAAATAACCCAATTATTATCGGTCTTTTTTATCAACTGTTTAACTTATGAGCACTTTCTACCAAGCACTTATTCCATGGAGCTTATAGGTAAAATAAAAATACAGGTCCTTAGTAGTATTATTATTTTATCTATAGTTTAAATTTGTTAAACAATAAGTTTTCTGTTACTATTCGTTAATTATAGCTAAATTAGGATTAAGTTAATAAACTATAAGTACCTTGTAGTGAATAATTATTTATGAGAATTTTGTTAAATATTTTGGTCATGTGACGCAATAAACTCTTAGCCGTGATGTTTAAGAATCCTTCTTGTGTGCATATCTATGTTTGGACCTTTTCTTTTGGCTAGTTATCTATAATTTTTGCCACGTCAAAATCTTTTTTTCTGAAATTTTCCAGAGTTAATTATAATAAGATCTGGTTCAGTCAAGATCATCATACTCAAAGTAGTGGTTCTCCTTTTATGTTTTCAAATTTGCAATCTAGATTTTGTTTCATTTGCATTATGTTGGAGTTGCCCCAACCTGTTTCAATGTAGTAGTGGAAATGATGTCTAAAAACTTTTATGTACTTCTATAAGTTAACATAGACAATACAGATAATAAAAGGGGGTGTGATTTCGAGCAGAACTATTTTTAGGATCTCACTTTGTAAAATGATGCAAATTTCATCACATTTGTTCTTCGGAAATAGTGGAAACCTCATTGCTGCTCCTCGAACTATGAAATAGACATGAGCATTTTAGAACTTGTTCCTGTTTGTTTATGCAATGATAGGCTTCAAGTTATCGAATCAAATCTTAGCCCGCCCAGACATGGTTATATGTATGAACACATAGATATTAGGTTTGAACATGCTCAATGAGGAGTGTGCATCACTTGCTGCTGCGAATTGGTATTTCACATGTATAGCCTTTGTTTATATTTTTATGGATCATTCATGCTGCATGTCTTTCTTGTATGACAAAAGGGTTTTGATTATTGCTGCATGACGAGGATACTCCTACTTTATGGAGGGATATTAAATATAATTGTTTATTGAATATATTTGTGCTGTTTTAAGTCTAATCCTCACAGAAGAAAAGGTAAGTTCCATGCTATGGATGTGCCGTT